CCCTCTCTTCTCCATAACCATCAAAATTACAGAGGATCCATTCCTGTGCCTGGAAAAAGGAATCAGGGCAAAAGGCAGTTCTGCGTTCATTAAATCTACACTGTGTTTTGTTTTGTAGGAAAGCAACACAATAGAGTTGCATAAAAACTAATTCAAGACAGCAAAATAGTGCTCGTTAAAATTGTTTAACTAGCAAGGAGAAACTTAATATTTTTTAATTGACTTTTCTTCCTGACCAGCAACACTATCTGGCAAGCCTTCAAAAACAACTCTGTTTTCAACAAAGTTGTCAAAACAACAAAACAACTCTGTAAAATACATGCATGTAGTTTATGTTTAAATTGGAATGGAAGCTTTTAAAAATAAAGATCTTATTACAGAATAATTTACCAATAATATCTTAAACAGCTCAATAAGATCAAATTATATAAATGCATTTGGACAGCTGAAGAAAATATGCAACTTAGTGGAAAGGCAATTAATTTTTAATCATTGTCATTCTACTTAAAGAATATAAATTATGCCAATGGAGACATAGAGAGATGTCACCTTTAGAGAGATGCATTGACTACCTACAGAAAAAGATCTTTGTCTCTGATTTACTAGTAACATCATGGCAAGAGAAAGTTATATGCATGTTCCTCCCAAAGGCATTAATTATATCTATTCTGAACCATATATAAACAAGAAAAGCAAATAGTTTGACTGCAGTTCCCCACATACTAAGATATCTCAACTGACTGACACAACAGAGCTGTGTCTGGGGAATCCTATCTGGACTGTAGTGATCCACCTTAAGAAACGTAGTCATGACATGGAATGATGGGAAAAGGAGGAAAAACCAAAGACCTGCTTCCAAAGATCAACAGACACTAAAGTGAAAACACAGAATTATAGACACCATAGCATATCTTTACTTTGTTACCTGTATAAAACAGAAAAGGAACACTTACTGGGCCCTCTGATCCCAAACTAATGAACAGCTTTGGCAATATATCAAATTCTTTCTGCTTCTCACTTTCTCATCCTATGAAACAAAAAAATGTACCTTTTTACAGTATGGATTCTGTTGGGGTATAGACAGTTTTAGCAAATGAATTCCAGCATTTAGCACTGGATATTAGATAAGCTCAGTACTGAAAAGGAACAAAAGGCACAGAGCTCAAACCTGCGCATCCTGCTGTGCTGCAAACAGCCTCATGATCAGAGCTTGGTGCACCACAGAGGCAAAGAGAAAAAGAAGTAAAAACAAGAACACTGTTCTGAAGTCCAAAAAGCCAAGGATCTAGTTGCAAACATAATTTTAAACTTGACAAAAAAAATAACCAGGAAGATAACATCTGTTGAATACTTTACTTTTGACAGTGTCTTTAGATAGAATTTGCCAAGATGCTAAGCAAAATTATGAAAAACTTAAGAAAAAAAAAACCACATTCCCTGAGCTAACAATCCTGGTAGCTACCTACCAGCTAGTCTGCAGGAAAACTTCTGCTTTCAGTCCCTAGGGAGTACAGCATGAAGATGTAGTATCCAGAACAGGTCTGTTAGCCAAGAGACCTTTCTCTGACTGTAAGATGCTCCAGAATCCTCTGCTGCAAGGTAGCTAAAAACTGCTGTGGTATTAGCAGCAGGAATATAATTCTAATGGACAAATTCAAGTTAAATAGTGCATCAAGGTTGATGCTTTATCTTTCACATTAGAGGAAAATATTTTTAAAAAACACGTGAACCATCTTCTTTTCGTCAGCAGGCAGCCCTAAGTATTTTTCTTTCCCTTTTGCAAAAAAAAAAAAAAAAAAAACCTTTAATTCTTTAAATTCTTTATCTAACACTTCGCCTTTCCATTATGTTAGTTAGTTATGCAAGAATCTCATTTTTATCAATGCATACCAAGTAACAAATACTGCACAGACAATTCCACAGGGAAATACTGAAGATTCAAGAATGCCCTTTCTCATCTTGTCTCTTTGCCCTTCTTATCAGATAAGCTTCTGTAAATACACTTTATACAGCTGTATAGGCATGCAAGCCAATAGCCAATTGATCTGACCTGAAAATCATATATAGATATCTTCACTGCGGTGAAGTCAAGTTTTGGGGTTATGCTGTGCAATGTTCTCTTTAATAAGAAAAATCAGATTCATTTTAGCATACGTAGCTCTAAAAGCTCCCTTATGTACYTGTCTTCACTTTAAAAAAGCAAAACAAAATAAAAATGAAAGAAACATGGTCAATGAAATGCAAAAAAAAATAGAATCATACAGAGATAATATTACGAAGCAATTTAAAACAACAAATATAGACTGAAGTTGATGTATTAAAAGAACAATTACAAAAAATAGGCCATTCCCATTTTCCATAATCTTTACTCAGATGCATCCCTGTAGTTTTGACTGAAGCATTAATAAATGCCGATTTTGGCACAGCTGATTTCCTTGATTTAAGATACCATAAATATAGAATTTTCTACTTACATTTTCTCTAGTCATCTTAAAATGTGAATTCTTCCATAATGAGAATACATCTGGCACTCTTATGGCCATGTACAAATGTAATTAGAATCAAACACTTCTAACAAGTGTTTCTTGATTTGACAAATTCCTCAAATTGCAACAATATAGCTACACTCAATAATTTCTGTAAATGGCATAGGAAATTCTGTTCCCTCACAGAGCTATAAGTGTAGTAGCACAAGAGAGAATCCTGCAGCTCACAATTTTAGTTCCCCAGAAGTGGGGAACGGCACTTAAATTTGGAAATTTTGTGGAAAGTTTTTCCACAAGGAAAAGGATTGCATGCAATTTTCCCTTCCTTCTTCCCACGTTATATTGCCCCTGGGAAAATATCTTAATCATGCCTCCTTTAAAGTTGAGAACAGAGGTTAGCCAAGAAAAACTTCTTCTAGATGTGCTCACAGCACTGAGAGCATCTCCTTCTCAGACAGCACTTGAATCCTCCCCAGTCAAAACAGACTGCAACAGGTATGCTTCCAAATCTGACTCATGAGAAGGCACTAAACAGGGCGAGTTTTATGAGCTATCCTGATATTGTCACCTTACAGCCACCACAAAACACTGATCTCCAGAGTGAAAGAGATGATAGTTGACAGTTGTATGCGTCAGGGTTAAAAGCTACTTATTACTGACAAAACGCTCGTATCATCTGCTTTTTACTTCTTTGACAGCTGCTCTCTCCAGCAGCAACACAAGGAAAAGATCTATTTCCCTGGTTGAATGCACATAATATTTTCCYTTTACAGGAGCTGAGGGGAAGTAAAGCAGCAACCCTCATCTTGAGGAAGGGGTTGAATCCAGTGATCTCTAAAACCACTTTCTGATATACATTACTCTATAACTCTGTGACTTATAGCACTTATCTCTGTTGTGGATGTCTCCCCTGATAACTTATGAGACATAAGCCCTGGGTATGGGTCTAAGCAGTACCAAGCTCATTTTCCTCAGAGACAAGCACTACTCTATTAGGAGTTTTTCTTGGGTATTTTTACTTACCTTTTACATCATGCAGCACCTTCTATTTCCTGGGGTGAGAGATAGGGGCAAAAGGAGAAGGAAAGGGTAAGAGGCACATATGGACTAGATAAAAACTGGTACCAGCACACCTTTAAAGACTCTTAGCTATAGACATGAAGCTTTTTGCACTGAGAGCACTAAAACAATTTACTTGTAATCTACCTGTGATTTAGTCTGCATGATCACCAGGTCAAGAAGGGGACAACTTAACAGTAAGGATAGCACCACAAAATAGGCTCAAGGCCGAAGGGCTCAAGCTAGAGGAGCATCCCCTTTCTGATATGCTCTGTAGACTACAGAGAATTCAGTTCTCTGTAGTTCCACAGACTAACAGTTAAAAATTAAGGAGTGCTTAGAGGTCAGGTAGAAGCTGAGAATCAACAGCTCACAGGAAACTGCAAATCAGTCGCTTTCTTGAGACTTATTCATAATCACCAGTTTTCTTCAAAATTCTGATTCACCCTGTTATTTTATGCCAAGAAAAGACTTGATGCATAGTTGGATGCAACTATGACCTACATAATTGACAAGCAAAGACCATGTGTGCTACATACCAGAGTGGAAAACAAACAGAAGCATTAAGACACAGAATTTAATTCTGCTATGCTGAAGTTATACAGTCATCTCCCCCAGACACTTCATACGCTGTAGTTATTTTCCCCATTCCGCACGGCAGTCTTTCTGCAGCAGGCATAGAAAACCTGAGGACAGATCTGTGCATCACACCTGGGCCACTCCCAATCCCGGCTTCCAAAAGCTCTGGAAGCYGACTGCTGCTGGACTTGCTTTCCCCACATTGAGGGAGGGACAGTCTTACTGCTCAGGCACAAAATGTACACAATACTAGAAATCATTTGCTACAATACTTCATCCCACCTCACCACTTCTTTCATAAGAGTTGGATTTTCTTCAAAATAAATAAATAAATAACAAAATAAAAAGGTATTTTGGGTCTGCACAGAGAGAGTTGCATAAAGTTTTGTTCTGCTTGACCACTGTTACCTCTGTGAGCCTCACTATGGTTATTCTTTTGCAGACTGGAGGGAAAAACACACAGATATGTCAATGTTAAATTCAAATAGTACGAAAGATGCAGAATAAAGATCTCTCAATGTTTCACACTGTATCTGGACTTGAATATGCTCCATTTCCACATCTCCAGGACTGACTGCTAAAAAATTGCAGCTACACACTTCACAATATTGATGTTCTAGCAACAAGCAACTTCCAGTTTATGTACAGATAGGTGTCTTTTTTTTTTTTTTTTTTAGCAGTATGTTTCAGAATGAGACTTTAGATCTTGCTTGGATAACTGTAGATTTTTTTTTTTTTTTTTTTTTTTTTTTTTTTTTTTTTTTTTTTTTTTTTTTTTTTTTTTTTTTTAATCTTTAGCTGCTCTTTACCTTCTAAGATGATGGGTGGGGAAAATTCTTATTACAGTTTCACATTGTCTCTCTTTTCCTGGAACAGGATAATGTGGATCTTGGTGACCTGATGTTTTCACTCTGCTACCTTCCAACAGCTGGTAGACTAACTATTACAATAATAAAAGCAAGAAACTTAAAGGCAATGGATATCACAGGAGCATCAGGTAGGAATTTATTTAAGGTTTAACCCAATTTCTGACCCATTTCCCTCAAAGAACTCCATCTCTGTCAACATACAAATTGTCCTTTGAGAGGAAGGGTCTTTACAGTGCAAGATCTTCAATCACTTGAGTACAGAGGTTTCTAAGAAGTGGTTAAGTAGTAAATAGTTTGTGATATTGCAAAGAAGAGCTTATAATAACCTGCTGTTGGAAAGCAGGTTATTTCTAAACCTACAATATTTCTAAGCATTATTCTAAGAATTTAAGCATTTTTTCTAAAGCTACCATGAGTCAGAAAAGCAACAGTTGGCCAACCTGTGTTCATAACATCGGGAATTTGGTTTCATGACAGAAAGTTGTCACAGCCATGAGCCCCTGCACAACAACCACCATCCCAAACTGTTTTCAGCAACCATTTCTGATTCAATAATAAGAAACTAAAATAAGCACTCAGCTAGCATGGACTTGTAGAGCACGCAGAAAAGCAACTACAAAGAAACTTTTTTTTTTTTTAAATACATTCAGATCTTCAAAAATAACTATACTTCTCTTGGGAAATAAAAGCCGTTTAATTGTCACACTTTGATAATTGTAATTGTATTCAATCACAAATCTGCAAGTCATAATGTATATGATACTGTCATCTTCTGTGTCCTACAACTAAAGAAATAATCAGGCTATCCTAAATGGGTTCATACCAAGGCTGTTCATAAGTCATATATAACATAGTTCAGTGGATATTTTAACACCTTTGAGAAATCAGTTCACATTAAGGAGCTCCTTGAACATATATTGTTTATACTGTGCATTCAAGCAGAATGTCCACTGCCCCCCAGGCAGTGTTACCGTCCAGTGTAAAAAAGAAACGCACATTCTACCCACGACATACAAGATGACAACTCCCTTTACTTTCTGTTTGTGTTTGAAAGCAAAAGAAAACAATGTTCTTATTATGATTCATACAGATCCCTACGTGAAGGTTTCTTTAATGTGTGAAGGAAGGCGACTAAAGAAAAGGAAAACTTCTACAAAGAGGAATACTCTTAATCCTGTTTACAATGAAGCCATAGTCTTTGATGTCCCTCCAGAAAATATTGACCAAATTAACTTGTCGATAGCTGTTATGGATTATGACCGGTGAGATACCTGTAATTGTAAAATAACAATATCTCTTGACTTAGATTTGCATCCAGGAACAAAGTTGTTATTTTCCCCACTATATGGGAAACTAAACATTTTGTGATGATGATTTTGGCTGAAGAGTAAAACTTCTTGAATTTTCAGGCAGAACTCCCTAAATTTTAAAGTAGGCATTTGCATCTATGTCTGACGTAACTAACACACATGTATATTTTTCAGGATGAAAATGACTAAACATATAATCAGACCATGCACATACTGATCTCCTGTTTGCACGCAAGCATGCTAACTCCTCTGAGTCAAACTCACCTTTACTGAGAATTTACTCATACTTGTAACTAATTACAGAAATGAACAAAGAGCTTCCTACATTCCTCATACAAAAATAAGACGTAAGACACAAATTCATGCAGGCACATGGTGTCTGCTATAGTGGGGAAAATATTGAATTACCCTGAATAACTGGAAGGTGCAAAAAAAAACTTACATATTTTATAGTTCACTACATTTTCCCAGAAAGAGCTAATTCTAAAAAGTTTTGATTAATGTGTTTAATATGCAAGTTCTATGTTCTTAAAGGTATATTTTAAGAAAAAAATATTATGGACCATTTTCACAGTGTAGGTCACAATGAGGTCATTGGAGTGTGTCAAGTAGGCAACGACGCAGAAAGCCTGGGTCGAGACCACTGGAACGAAATGCTTTCGTACCCTCGGAAACCCATTGCTCACTGGCATCCTCTTGCAGAGGTAAGATATATTTCTTGCTTCCACTTTTCTGCAATTGTGAAAATTCCTCCATATAGCATTAAAAGTTGGATAAAAATCTTATGAACAAAAACAAGATATATAGATACACTAAATCCTAGGAAACGGTTTGGAAACATCAGTAATCAAGTCAAACATAACATGAAAGTAAAGTCTGCTCCTTTGAATTTTAGTGGGACTGAAAATATGCCTTTCTATCTTTAACATACTTATTGAAACCCAGACCTTAAACACTGGATAAAGGTGAAAAAGGAGGTTTTTTGTTTTTGTTTTTGTTTTTTTTTTAATAGAATGTTGCGTAACTTTCACTGATAATTGCTATAAATGGCCTTGTTTAAGGAATGACCAAATAGCTTTTAAACAAAACAAACTAATTGGACTATAACACTATATCCATGCCACTGGCAAACCTCAAGGACCGTCTAACTGCATTAAAAAAGTTTAAGTGTCTCTGGAGATCTGAGACATTGATAAGAAGCCACACATTCAGAAAAATCTTTTCAAGCTTCCTATGTTTTTTTTGTTTTGTTTTGTTTTTGTTTTGTTTTTGTCTTTAGGGCCCTATTCAGCAGAAATGTTATGCAGGTCTTCTGCGTTTGGATGGCTGCCGAAGAGGCTTCCTCACCCTTATAACCTATTCAGCAGAAATCTGGCATTCCTGTTGAACTCTTTCTTAGCCATATCCTCAGGGGCTATTCCACAGAGTCCAGTGGGGTAAAGACGTCCTTTTAATCCCTCTGCCTAACCCCTACTCCCTTCCCAACACAGAGAAGGCTAACCCTGATTCATGAGGCACAAAATTTCACTGAAGATCTTCCTAAAGAGCTTCCCAAGGGTTTCCACCATTTACTTTTACCGTTACTACCGTTACTAAAGTCAGATAGTAACCTCACTTAGAAGAAACCACTATATTTATGAGCAGCCACAAAGCCTGAAAGCTAGAAAAGTGTGTCATACATGCCGTAAACATCTCACACACATAAACAGGTTGCTGGCAGCCTCTCTGGGTATGTTGTTGCACCAGAGTGCAGTCATGTCACCAGAATGCAGCTGGGGACTTTACTTACTTTGTTGTAACCAGCAGCAATAGAAGTTCAGTAAGTGACAAGCCACGGGAAGATGCTACCTTGGCAAAACCACGACAGCAGTGCTGTGCTTCCATAACTGCTGCCTGCTGACCACAGCAGGGCAGCTTTCTGCACAGAGGCCTTTGCATCCTCCACTGCAAGCTCCACTGCAGCTGGAGAGGCACAGGGCCTTTTCAGGGCTGGGGTGGTGCCAACACACATGCTTTCTCCCAAAGTGCAGAAGATTACAACACCAAGAACAGTTCCAGCCAACTGGGGCTCTGTCCATTTACTCATGTCCTCAGCTAGCTACTGATAGTTGGCTACACTCTTATATCCAATCTCCTTATATCCTGCTTCACCCCTTCAATACATTTTATTGCAGCCAGAGCCCACAATTAAGCTTTGACAGCTCTTCCCTTTTTACAGGCATCCTGTTCTTTTCATACATGCCTGGCTAACTTCTTTAGATGTCATTACTGTGAATCATTTTACATGTCATGGAGCTAAAACTAGACATTTTTTTCCTTCCCAGGAATCAAGTGGGGGAGGGTGTCCAGCGCATCCAAGCTGTGCAGAGAAATACATACACAGCATATCATTTTGGTTCCTGAATCAGGATTAGACTCAGCGAGAGCTTCTGGAACCTCTGTGGCCACAGTCATAGGACCCTGAATACTTGCTGAATAGGACCCTCAGTATTCTACTGTGTGAAGAGCTGTTGGTTTCAAGTAGTGCAATGTCATCTATTTGTAGTGTTAATTCATCAGCTGACTCTATTGCTACCTGTAGATTGTGTGGTTATAAGCATTGCCCAAATTGGAGTCAGAAGCTCTGTTCATTAAACTAGCCAGATTTTACAAACACGATAGCAATGAAAATCAACAAGTAGCTGAAACAACAACAAACCTAGCTCTTGTATTTGCAAAATGATTCCATATTGTAATGGATAGCTTGGTAAATGGATTTTTTTTGAAAATGATTGTCCTAAGCCATTTGTTTCTGATGATGAGTTGTGTCTTCAGTCTCAGCTAGTGCCTCCTTTCATCTTGTACAAAAAATAGGGTTATGTGTAGAAATCCACCAAATCTGACAAAGTGAAAAGCTATATTCTGTTGGGTGAGATCAAGATACATATGGCATCTGTAATAACACTCTATACTTCCAGAAAGATAACTATCTGTATAACATAGAGCCTGCTAGTCCTCACTCTCTCTAGATAATTTTTCAGACACATTTCTTTGTTGTATCCACGAGACTGAAAAGAAGTTGGAGCATATCAGAGACAGTGACGCTTCATGACACTTCTAATTGTGCACAGGCATGACTATCATTTTAAAATGCTGTTCCAAATACATATTGCCTGTGAACATCTTATGATTTGCAGAAGAACTAACGGATCCATCTTACATGACAATATATTGTAACTGTTGACGATCTCTGACCATTGAACAAATACATCAAAGCACTAAATTCTTTCACATGAAATAATCTGTCCTGGACAAAAGAGCTGCTGAAATATTTTTTGATGGTTATGTAGCAAGGAGGATGGTTATGTATGCTAGGAGTTAACTGCCTTCACATTTTGCCATTTGATTCAAGTGTCTTTATTGGAATTTTTCTTAAATAAATGCACATGCAAAGTACGTGTATTCCCTACAAGATATTTTGCCTGAAACCAAGTTACAGGTATAGAACTTTTGTCTTTCTACACAGTCCCCGTGAGTTTATGCACACACATATTACCTTCATGTCATTATGAAGGCTTGCCAAGCACTTATAATTTACAACTGAGCTGACACATAAAAGCATACAGAGACTGGAGAAAACACCTGAAAATTTAATCTGAAAAAAAAATTAGTTTCATAATGCATCAGTTGAGAATCTCTTGAAAATCAGGACTGCTAATAGGTAGAAGCATGGCTTGACTTCTGTAGTCTCAGATCTGCTATGAATGTGGTGCAGCTACAAAGCACAGGTCCTGCAAATCTAATGCTTTTCCAAAACCTCCAGCTATGCAGCCATAGCACACACTATGAAGCAACCCGGATTTCCAGACACAGCAGCTGTTTGGAGCAGCTGAAATTACCATGCGTAATGCTTCACAATCCAAGCAAAAATTCCACGTAGAAAACTGCACATGTCCAGAAAAAAACAACACTGATATAAACTGTATAACATATATAAAATATTTATACAGAAATACTTCTATACAAATATAAAACCATTTCACTGGACTTCCATCTAAAGCTGACAGACTACTGTATTAGCAGGCCAACAGTAGAGCACAGTGCTCCTATCTGCTCATGTACAAACCTCACTTGAGGCGAATCCTGCACTCTGCTCAGATGCAATTCTCAGGAGTCCATGTGAGGGGATATGCATAAGCACAGGGCAGATTTGCTCTTTTGGAGTAGAGTGCTTGATTCCCTGGACAAATCATGATACACATGTCCCTGCTTGTGATGCAAAGCAGGCAACTTTTCCACCAAAACCACTATTTTGAGGGCAGCACTAGCGGTACARCTCTGTAAAAAGGGGGAACATCTATACAGTAGGCTCATTTCCTCTCCATAGTTGAGCATAGAAGCATTTCTAAGATTTGACCCCAGCAACTCAAAGGGGCATGAGCCCCAAAAAAAAGAAAAAAAAGTGTATCAATACCCTAAATGCTAGTGTGTTTGAATTTATTACCATACTAAGATTATTTAATGCTCGGATGGCTGACAAAGACAGTGAATTCAGTTCTGGAAAAAAAAAGTGCTCACTGAGCATTTAAAAACAAATCCAGGACACCTCAAAGGCTTAGGAACTAGAAAGAAAGCCTGAGTTTTACTAAATTCTCATACTTGCTTTCTAGTGAATGACTCAGACATTACAGTTTTTAAAATACTTGCATTATAAGAGCAGTACGTGTGTGATGATAGTTACTCGTGTATTGGCATACTTCATTCTTCACCTTTATGCTCCACTTAGCCAATGCTACATTTGCTCACAAATGTTGTCATTCTGGTGGCTCAGCACATTGCTGTTGCCTTTGTAGTTTAATACAATAATGAAACAGCACATTGGAAGGAAGAGAGGATCTACCGTTACAAAAGCAACTGGAGACAGAGAGATAATCCTCATCCCAATAAGCTTCACTCTCCTTTTCTGAACTATATTTTCCAGATATGATTAGCAGTAGTCTCCAAGACAATTACAAACTCCAAGTCCTCACTTGTTATTTCCTGAGAAGGCACAACTATACCTCATGACTACTACGGCAATTCTGAAATAGAAAAGGAAATCCCTTAGAAATGCATCTCAGCAAGACGTCAATCTGCTGCTCTCATTAAAAATGTGCTGTTAAACTGTAACTTGTAGTTTTCCAGAACAAAGAAGCACTTCAGTTATTCTTTCATGATAAAGCAATGACTGTCAATGAGGAAGTCTTCCAAGATACTGACATGGAAGTCTTCCAAGATACTGACATGGAGGCAGGTTATAATGGACAGTTCTGTGAAATTCTTACACTACAACTCACAGCACCATCCTTCCACAGCTGAGCATGGTAATCTTCTCATCCATTTTCATCCAAAACACAAAATGTTTCTATTTTGCTTTCTTTCGTTTTGCCTCTCAATCTGGGGAAGTAAGGTCTACCAGAACAGAAACTACATATGCACTAAAAAGGATTCACAGCTCAGCCTTCCCCTACCAGCCAATGCATAGTTCAGCACTCCAACTCCCACTAGCAGAACTGAATGGTATGCAGCCAGCCTGAGCCATAGTTGATTCAGCCCGGGAGGAAACAACACAGGACAGCATTAAAAAAAAAGTAAAAGCTTTTAGTCCACTTATGTGGGCTTGAGTGGAGAGCTAATAAATGGCAATTATTTTTCAGCAAACTCAGAAGCCTTTTTTTTTAATTACTTTTTTAAAATCAAGCATCATATGTAGTTAAATCAAACATGAAAGATCTAAAGTAAGAGGTACAAGATATATATTTACACTTTTATCACTTGGCAACATTAAAGCACTGAGGGGATCTATTTGCCATAAAAACAATATAGCTGCAAATTCTCCTTTGGTTTAAAAGTAGCAACCAATAAAACCAGTAAGTGGGAAGGACTGGAAACTGCCTGGAAAATCTGTTTGAACCGTTAGAAACAGGTCTGAAATTATATTAATGTTAATACATTTTGTTTACATTTAAACAGATGGAAATGAAAAACATACAACAGGTGATCAAATCTGAAATGCCATGAATTAAGGGTTTCATTCCATTTAGCATAATGTATGGTCAAATGATTATCGCCCATTATCATGCAGGGAAACAATAACTTTTGGATTTTTATCTATGAGGTAAAAAAKTATGTAGGGAAAATAATCTACAATACTGTGGGATTTAATGAAAGCACTCCATGATGGAAAAAGTGGTAGCAGAATAGAATTTGTAAAAGATATTTTTAAAAATGCTAACTTCATCTAGATTCTTGCTGCTCTGAAGTATTCTGCTGTGAAGTGACAGCCTCAGAGCACACAAAGCAAGCTGTGCAAGGTGCGAATGACCCTGAAAGGGCCCTGCACAYGCTGGGCTGAGGGATTTCAAGTGCTGCATTAAAAGTTAATTTTTAATGCAGTGGGTTGGGCAAGAACTACAGCTGCAAGCTGTAAGTACTTCAGGGTCCTGCAGTTCTCTGAAAGGACCCGTGTCTTCTCCAAGGTGTGGGAAAAGCACTAATGCAGATGGCAGTGGTGAGACACTACTCAGGAAAGGCATCATCAGGATATACCTCAACTGGTGACTGTGCACAGCACACCTGACACTGAGGGGGAAGATGACAAGAGGACTTCTAAGCAGCTGGGCTGTTTGGTTGGTTGCCTTTCCCCCCCCACCCCCTCCTCCTTTGTCAGTTGGGGTTCTTTCTTCCTTTGCTCAGACACAGCCATTGTAAACCTGCAATGATTTGTTCAGTTGCATGCTGGCCAGCTGTYATTTTTAATATCCATTGAAAGGTATGTGAAGAGAGCTGTGTTGTTTTGCTAAACTTTTTTTTATATATATATATCTCTCACATGAACATTGTACTATACTTTTAATCTTTCTCGTTCAATAAATAGTCCTTGTGTCTCTCTGTTTCATGTCTAATTTCAGAGAATAGGGCCACACCTGTATCAAGGCTCTCAATTATCTGGGCATTTTGTTTTTTTAGTAGAAATAATGCATGATTCCATTTGCAGTGATGGTTTGAGGGATAAAAGAGTTTCTTAATTTTATATTATGTATTACAATCTTCTATACACAAGTAAAAAATGTACTGTGATTTATTTATATAGATCTAGTCTGAATAAGTAATTTTGTTCTTAATAAAAACTCTGTAAGAAAATGTGGCATTGTAATTTTTCCTATTTTATATTTGATACAATAAACTTTAAATCATTATTCAAAGGATTCCCAGCAAACACTTCAGAAGTGTTTTAACTCTGCTTTTCTTCATAGATAATTTGGTAAAACAAATGCGACCAGAGAGACAAAATAGTTAACATAACTGTTACTGAACAGCACTCAAACTTGAGCTGAGCTTTTGAATACAGATACCACCCACACACTTCTTGTTTTATCCCATGGCCATTATCATCATTAGAGGAAGATTTTTTAGAGATCTCAAACATGAATTGCATAGATTTAGTATTAAGAAGAAGCTACTGAAGTGCTTACACTGAGCAACAGTGTGTTAAATGAAGAGAATCAGCATGTAGCATAGCAGGTTAACAAAATTAGCACCCAAGAGGGACCTCATGGAAGGCCCCAGGAGCCTATGGCACAAACGGAAATGCTAGTGTAGAAGTATGCCCGTATAACCACCAAATTGCACCAAAATTGCACCTAAAAGACTATGCTCTTCTGTTTCCCACCTACTGAAATTGCAGATCCAGCAGCAAGAGCCTTAACACTATGACATCTAGTTAACGAAGAGTTTCTCTAGCTCTTTAGGGATAAGCTCAGTCTTTTTTTGTTGGGAAGAAGCAGCTTGCTTACCTCTACTGCAATAATAAAGGGTCACTGACATACAAACTGTGGTCACAAAACAATAATTTCGTGCAACTAAAGAAAGAATTTAACACTTCTTTCCTTGGGATTATTTGAGATCACAGACAGAAGCAGAAGAAATAAAACGAGTCGAAGTTGATATTATCTTCAATCATGGTAACACCTATAGGCTGTAAATAGACTGGTTTTTTAATTTCCATGCAGATACGAAAAAGAAAAGAACGTACTCCAGAGAGCTGACTTGGTAAGATAACAAGAGAGCTGGAACATGCTGTTAACTAAGGAGAGCTGAACACCTGCTTGCAGCAGCCTTTGCATAGGAAACTGTTACTGACCTGACTGCCCCAAGCAGATGACTGGTAATCAACACGGAGAAAGGCTAGTCCATAACACATAAGGCATCCTTCCTAGCAATGTTGAATAGTAGAAGCCAAGTGATTCTGAACAGTTAATACCTGGTGCTAACAAGCTTTATTGGCAGCTGCGTGTGAATTTCCACAGGGGAAGACCTGCTTCATATCAACAAATTCTACAAAGAACTCGAAGAGATCAAAGAGGAAGGAGAGAGCAAAACAGTCTTCCCAGATAACCTAAGACACAAGCCATTATAAGTAACAAATTAGTAAGTGCCTTTCCCTAAATTAGCCAGTTCTGAAAAAACATTTCACAATCTGATTCATATTATGCCCATCAGGTTCTATACAGGATCAGAAATAAAAAAAACAAACAAACAAAAAAAAAACCCCCTCCTTACCTCCTTGGAAGTCCAACCAATGAAAACCTTTGCATCTCAAGTCATGATAAAGTTAGTGAACTTTGCAAGCAACTTTTCCAAGAAAGTGAATTACATCACGTGAGGAAGTGAGTTATATACGTACCACAAAGCAACCACATGACATGTGTTGTGGTAGGCCCTCACAGCAGTTTCTAATGTAAGCAACATGTAAGTTGTTATAAGGCTCTAGAGGGAAATTCTAAACAAAACAAACCCAAAAACTAATTTCTGACTTGAAACAACATCACACATTGATTAGGGTCTAGATCCTATTCTCACAACCCTACTTCTGGAAAGCATAGCTTTTGTACTCTAGAAGTTTGCACTTTCCTGCTTTTAATATTCTCAGTTGTGTGTGACAAGTTGTAAGAAAGAAAAAAGCAACATCTAACACTCATAAAACCTCTGAGACCAATTCTTCATTTTGATATGAATATTAAAGAAACAGGATGCAAGAGGGCACTGGAAACACAAGACACATTGTCTTTGTGCTGCTCAGGACTGCATGGGGGATCAAATATGTACCAATCTCTTGAGTTTAAGAGCTTCAAAAATATT